AACATTCAAAAAGAAAATTTGGTGTATAAAAACAGAACCAAATCAGTTCTTATTTTTTATGTCTAAAAACACATAAAAATACTTAGTAACATTTTTTTAACTCAGTATATCATGGGTCATGCATCAAAGGGTTAAAACAGGGGTGCCGGTCCGTCGGTCATTAGGTACCAGGCTGCAGTGGGACACAGTAAATTAATGTACTTTTACTATTTCACTTCATTCATTTAAAAAAAAAAACTCTGCAATGTTTCAAAACAATAGTTCATTCAGACTAATACATACTAAAAGAATAAAGTCTAAAATATGTTTATATATATATGTATATATACAGAGAAAGTTACCTTCATTGGTGGGTATTTGTGATACGGTGCAGCACCCGTTGCGAGTTCAATGGCTGTTATTCCGACACTCCAGATGTCTGCTTTAAATTCATAGCCACGAAATTAGTGATCCAAAAAAAAAAAAAAAAAAAAAAAAAAAGATTTACCAAATTGTTTGCAGGTACAATCGAAAACATACGAGAGAAGAGAACAGGCCATTTAAGACAGTTGTTTCCTACCTGCTCCATGACCTCTGGAGCCATCCAACATGGCGTCCCGACAAATGTCTTCCTAAGTTTGTTCCTTGTCATGTCTCTTCCTGTTGCTAAAAAGGCACTAACTCCAAAGTCTATAATGTGGGGGGGGGGGGGGAAAAAAAGCGTAAAATTTGTAAATGTAAATTTATGATGCTTTTTAATAAAAATGAATGTGTCTATGAAGATTCAAGGTTGAAGAGTTCTGTTAGGCAACTGGACGTGAAATGTTTTCAATGAGAGGCGAAACGTCTTCTTTGAGAAAAAATGTCACGTCCAGTTGCCTAGCAGAACTCTTCAATCTCCACAAATGAATGCTTGTCAGAAGTCCAGTTTGTTGGGACCATCTAACTCACGTTTACAATTTTTAAAAAAATAAAGATAAACAGCATTCATGCAGGATAATTAATAAATGAGTTCATGCCATAACAACGTGATAGGTTGCCCAGCCCCTAATATATATGTAAATACAAACGGGAAAAAAACCAATCATCTCACCAGCAATCTGCACTGAACCATCTTCACCCAGAAGAATATTTCCAGCTTTTAAATCCCTGAAAATTGATATATAATACAGTAAGATTAATACACAGCAAAAACAAGCGTTTTGGTGTGACTTTTTACAAGTTTGGTTGGACCAGGCTCTGCCCACTTAGCAGTTCAATGGATAAATTAAATAACATAATTTAAAAAAAATTTTTTTTTTAAATAGTGAACGAGATCAAGGACTCGCTACAAAACGGCGTTTCAGAAAGCTGTGAATGTGAAACCAAGCTACTTAATGATGTATTGTCACTGGATGAATTATTAAAAGGAGTCATCTCTGTTTCACACTTCAGTTGTTCAGAGCAGACAAAACTAGCGTCAGAATTTGGCAAACAGAGGCTGCTAGCAGACAGGTAACCTTCTGTAGCATGGATTCACCAAACACCAAACGTCCCAATAGGGTTGTGATCTCCCAATCCACCGGACGATTTATTGGTCCGATACATTCTGGCTGTACCAAAATTCTGATTGGTCAATTTTTTTGGCCTGTTAATTTCACCAGGAGGAAAAGTACCGTACTTTTCAGTCTATAAGCCGCTATTTTTTTTTTCCACACCCTTTGAACCCTGCGGCTTAAACAATGATGTTGCTAATTTCTGGGTTTTTACGAGCTAACGAAGTTCATACCGCTAGCGATCAATGGAGAGCGGTAGTGGAAGTTGAGAGCAGTTTGAGCCCCGTCATGTTGAAGCGTTGGTTATACATGAGCTGTTAAAACACTGTTTATGTAAAAGGGAGTTAGCCCCAGAGCTAATGTTAGCGTCGGCGCTGGAGCAGATCGCTAGGTCTCCCCTGTGCATTCCGACTACGGTCGGGTCACCGAAGCAGGAAAGAGCTAACGTGTAACCAGCCGTTTTACAGGAACTGCTCAGAAAAAAAAAGCATTTATTTAATTAACAAAGAAAAACATTCTTTCGGTGTAAATATCCCACCGACATCTGCGGCTTATAGAGAAGCGCGGCCTATATGTGTACAATTATATTTTTCTTTTTAAATCTAGTGGGTGTGGCTTATATTCAGGTGCGCTCAGTAGTCCGGAAATCATGGTACCAAGTATAATCGGGACGTTTTTAAGAGCACCCCTGTTTCACCGGTAACAATCTACTATCTTCGGAAAAAACTCATTTTGGATTAGCCTTACGCACAGGCAGATAGATAACTGTTTTGAGTATATGAACATATCAGAAATGGCATATTTCAAATGTTTGTAATAATCGCTTTATGACTGCAAGCGCACCCGTCCAGAACAAAGGCAATATCTTTCAAATAGTCTGAATAAAAGTTTTGATTTAATAGTTCACTCCCGTCTTGGTTTATTCTGTGGTATTCTGAGCACGATGTAAAATAAGGGTGTCTGTTAATTATTATAGCATGCATAAAACAATTCAAACAGTCCGAATTTTTCTCAACAGTTCTTGCGCGATTTCACTAATTGACAAAGAACATTTTTTGGAAATCATGCGCAACGATATTGCACAGATGACGCCAAACGCTGTCAGAGCCAAGTGTGTAATTATTTTAAGTGCAAAAAGAATTAGGTCAAAAATGATTTCATATAAAGCAAATAGACTACTAGCCTCTATGTTTATTTATAATATATATATTTATATTTCTAAATTTCCGCCCTCTCCACATGATAAGTTGATATTTGGTCAAAATTTCAGGTCGACAAAGTTGACAAATTTCCTTAGTTGGTTAGAGCTCTACTCTTTAAGCAAGAAAAGTGTTTCTATATGTCATTGTAGAGACAGCTAAAATAACACCCAGGTATGGGTAAAACCTGACCTTAATACATCTAATAATCAAACAGTGCAGAAAGCGGTAACTCACCGATGAATTTGCCCATTTTTATGAAGGTAATCCACAGCCTCCAAGACCTCTTTCAGGATGGTGGCAATACTGGCCTCATCTAAAACACCTGACTTGTGCTCCCCACGAGAGATGACGTGTTTGATGATGTCTAGCACAGATCCTGAAAAACAAAATGACAAACAAAGAAATGTCCCAAATACATGTTTTCATTTTTGACAAAATAAGATTTATTAAATTCCATTCAGTAACTCAATCCAAGAACAAAGTCGGGTTCATTGCCAAGAGTAAAATCATAAACAAGCACAGTAAAGACTGGTAGGTCTGCTGTTGTCGTCTTTCACTGATGACTGTTTTGCTATTTTGCATTATGCTTTTCTAAATTAGATAGTCGTAAGTCAGTGTTCGAACTATGATGATGCACCAAAAAAAAATTTTTTTTTTTCTTCCAAAACCGAAAACCAAAAATGAGGAAACCAAGGCTGAAAACCAAAATCGGAAAAACACTGAAAGAAATTATTATGACAATTGTAAGCATGAGACAATGAGGGTCCCGGTCCCTCATCTGGCACAGAGAGACCAGTCCTTTTTGCTGAGCTCTGCTCTCCGTCTCCAAGCGGGTTCTCCGTGTCTATCGCTGCCCGGATCATTTCTCGTGTGCGCTGCTCTATTCCCACATTCAAGCAATGTTCTTTATAACGCGGATCAAATACGGCCGCGACGAGCGCAGGGGATCCGAACAAAAATGAAGGATGAGTGCAGAACTCATTTCTGCTAGAACATGAAGATTATGCATTACCCGAGTAACAAGTGAATGTTTTATAAAGTTTGTTTTCTAAAAACAGAACTTACCACCACTGAGAAGTTTCATTATCAGCCACAGTTCATCCTTCACCACAAAGGAAGTGTAGTAGGACACTATGTTGGGATGGTGGCACTGACTCATGGCCTGGATCTCTTTCTGCACAGAGAATAACGGTGTGTTTTTCCTCCAAACTCGGCATCGTATATAAAACATCACAGACAGTGGCTCAAATCATATTGCTTATGCCTGACAGTCAATAACCTGCGATAGATGACAATTGCAGATGAGCCAAAAAAAGATTTTCTGGCAGCTTTGTGGTCCCACTTATTGTCCATCAGAGAGATATTTTGTATAAAAATAAAAAGTTTGATAACTTGGTTTGATATCACCATACTGTCTGTACAAGCCCAGTCAGGAAAAGAGAAATACATTTTGCAAAAACGTGATTGTTAATCAGGTGTTTCTGGTTATATTTAGAATTATGTTTGGTTTATTTAACATCTAAAAAACTGTGACCCAACAAGTGTTGTCATATATATCTACACGTACATACATAGACAAGATCTGGACTGCAGGTGCAGGCCTACACGCTCTTACCCGCAGCTCATCCATACTTGTCTGACATTTCTCCAGGTTGATGCGTTTGATAGCCACTTTCTCTTTCCGTGGCTTGCAGTAAGCTGCCTGGACAACTGCAGTGGCTCCACTCCCTGAGTAACAATAAAATGTCATCAGGGCGGAGAGGTCAATTGGTGCATTATTTATGCACACGGTAATTTCATATTTTGCAATTTGCCTCAATCTGCTTGTCAAAAGCTTACATCTGTTTTGCATCTGTTTTGCATCTGTTTTTTTAAGGTATTAGTTTCAAATGTGGTCAACAGATGCAGGTGTTAGTGAAAGTAACAGTTGATCTCTGCAGACGTCACCAATGTACGTCATTCATCATCATGTTTTTCACATTAGTGCAAGCAACAACAATAGTGGATTTGCAGATGTACCTGTCTGTTATTAAACCTAATATTTACCACTAATGACGCGTGAAATGTTTTTTTTAAAAATACACCAAGTGTTGTGGTACACAAGTTGCAATACACGTGTGTAACACCATACACACAAACCTACAATTATTATCTTTAGAAATAGCTTTTGCAATACGACAACTTACAACAACGTAAGATAAATTAAATACAGCCAATTGGATAAAGAGGATTCTCTTTTTGAACAGTGATACAGAAAGCTAAATACATGATTGACTAAAAAACCGGTGACCCTGCAAAAGAACAAGTGTTAGATAATAGATTAGTCTGGAATAGATGGAAGACTCCACATCTTCACCACTCTATGAGCTAACTTCAGTTAGCTAGCAGTTTAGCAAACGCTATTTTAGGAAGCTACCTCTTTGGCCTCGTAATTACCATTTATGGGACATGTATGGCGAAAAATTTACACATTGTTAGTGAAAAAGGAAACATGTTTAAAACGTAGAGACTCGTCTCCATGTTAGCAGAAGGCATTTTAAGGCTAGTTGTGGCAGCCACCACAGTAGTAAAGACAGGCTAACGCTAAACTACTCACCTATCACCTCATTGAGTTCGTAGTCATCTTTGTCTATGGACCACTGTTGAGAGGACTGGTCGTCTGCCATAGCGTCGCCGTATGGACTATGTCAATTATATTTTCGATTAGGAGATTTTGGCAGTAAATAGCATTATTTCACTCTATTCGACTTAAACGTTAGCATCGATGCTAGCACTAGTGCTCCGTTTTGACAACTCCTTCCGCTCCCTCTGCTGTCAACACAACTGTACGTGCGTCGTTCGCGTCGACTAACGTCAGAACAGAGAACCGTGTGGGGAGGAACCCTGTGGCAAAAGTTTATATTTATCGTTTTCACTTTCCACCGCTTATCCTTATTCAGGGTAGTGAGGCAAATGTTGACTAGGATAAATAAATAAAATAAAATTTGTTAAATTCACGGTTGACATAGTCAGCCCTAGGCCTACCACATACAGAAGGTGTGGGGCTGTGGGAATCCTCTTCCTGGTCTGGATTTCCAGCTACCTCACATACAGACCACAGTATGTCAGGCTTCTGGTACAACTCTGAGCTATGTCACATCCAGCAGTTTTTAGTATATTATGGACAACAAGGACAAGGAGTACAGGCGCCTTGTGAGAAACTTCGGTGTCTGGTGTAAAGTGAAAACCTGCCGCTCAACACCTTTAAGACCAAGGAGCTGGTCATGAACCCAAACCAAGCCTAGT